ATAAAAACTATGAAAAATAATAAATCACCTGCAGCCGTATTCTCATCTCTCCGTTAAGCTTAACGGAGCGTTAGTAGAAAATTTCTTTTTAACTACATTAATAAAAAAAGTTCTTTACAAATAAAATTTTTAAAAATAAATGTTTTATTTTAGTATTAGTTTTATATTAAAAAACTTAAATAAAGTTTTTGTCATTTCTTCACTTAGAAATATTGTAATGAAATTTCAGACAAAAGTTCCGTTAAGCTTAACAGAGAGAATACGGCTGCTGGAAATGATGGCTTAACGGCCAAATTCTACAAATCTAATTTTAACAGTTTAGGTGAAAGTTTAGTTAAAATTCTAAACGAAAAAATAAATAAAAAAAATGAGATGTCTATTACACAAAAACAAGCCATAATAACATGCCTTTTTAAAAAAGGTGATAAAAGTGACATTTCAAACTGGCGACCAATATCTCTATTAAACACGGACTACAAAATTCTTACCAAAGTAATATCAAACCGACTCACAAAAATTCTTCCAACCATCATAAACAAAAACCAAACATCAAGTATCCCCATAGAACAGTTTACCAAAACCTGGCATATACCAGAGACATAATATATATTGCAAATATCAGAAACGTAAGATCATATATTGCAAATATCAGAAACGTAAGATCAGTGGTTCAAACCCCACCTCAGGATAAGTTTTGCGACATCGGTTGGGAAGGAGGCGTGAACTTCCTATTAAATGCTCTTCCGCGGTGCTCTGTGATAAGACCATAAGGACTTCTTGGGACACCTTAATCAACAAAAAAAATAAATAAATAAATAAATAAAATTTAGATGCCTCTATTATATCAATTGACCAAATCAAAGCCTTCGACCGTGTCGACAGAAATTTTTTATATGACTGTTTATCTAAATTTGGTTTTAGTGTTTACTTTATTAATCTTATTAAAACTTTATACTATGACATTAGCTCCAACCTTAAAATAAACAGATTTTTATCCGATAAAATAAATATATACCGAGGAGTACGACAAGGATGCCCCCTCTCAATGATACTGTACATAATCCGAGCTGAAGTCTTTGCAGGAAACATTAGAAAAAATCCCGATATAAAAGGAATAACCCTAGACAACAAAGAAACTAAACTACAACAATACGCAGATGACACACAATTTTATTTATCATCTGACAACTACATAAAAGCCCTAGGCAATGCCATAAATATTTATAAATTAGCCACAGGTACTAAATTGAACACAGCCAAATGCCAAGGGTTGTGGCTTGGCAAGAACAGATCGATAATAAAAGAAAACTTTTTAAACTTTTCGTGGCACGACACCACCCTTCGGAGTTTAGGTATTATTTTCTCAAATTGTAGTCAACATACCAACCATCAATGGGACGAGGGTATTGCTAAAATCAACAAAAAAATAGAAAATTGGAAAAGATTTCATTTATCGATAAAGAGAAAAGCTATTATTATTAACGAAATATTCTTAAGCAGCTTATGGCACCTTGCCTTCACGCTTCCTATTCCAGGAGACCAAAAAATTAAACAAATAGAACAAGAAATTGAAAGATTTCTTTGGAATAATAGCACTATAAAAACTCGAAAACAAATATCTAAACTCCCTGTTGATAAGGGAGGACTAAATATCATAGACGTTAAAGAAAAGCTTCAATCTATACAACTAAGTTGGATTTCAAAATATTTTAATGAAAATGAAAAGGGAGCGTGGAAAGATTCAGCTTTTTATATATTCAACAATTACAGAGACGCAAACCTTTTTCACCACACACTCAACAGAATCCGTAAAAACTCTCCCTCTTTACTATCACCAAACAATAAAAAAATGGAGTCGCTTATACAGAAAAACAAATAATCACACAAATCTCACTATCAAAGAAATACTAAAACAAAATATATTTTATAACCCATACATACGCCACAGAAATAAAACTCTCAAACCAACTCAAGAATCCAAAAACAACGACGTAATAAAGCTAGGCGATATTGCAAAAGTATTTATCCCTGGATTTCTTTCCACTAATAAAATACACATTTGTTCTTATCCGAAAAATCTACCCAAATCATCCACCCCTTAAAAATATTTTTAAATTTTTTCTTTTTGCTTTATCACCTTCTGTAAATAGTTTTTATATTGGTAAAATAATATTGAATGAGCTTTTATATAAACTATATTGTAATAAAATGAGGTCATTCCACGAAAAGTCCATGTTTGAGAGAGTGACTCTCTTAGAAGAATTCCAAAACAAAATCAAAAAGATTTTCTTTCAAGAAATTTCGAAGCTAACAAATAAAAAGGATTTTTTTCTATTAGAACTTGCACAAATCTGGAGCAACGAAAATAAAATTAATATAAAAATGAACAACAATCTTTTTTTAAACTGAAACGCCCAGATTATTTTTTTCGAATTCTTTTTTTACTTTTTCGTTTTTTGCTCGTGTAGTCTCTAGAGATTATGTCTTTTTTTGACCTAGTAGTGGAACAGTAGACCACCTTGTAAATATAACTACTGTATTCTTTATTAAAACTCTGCACGGCAAATGCCTGAGGAGAATAAACTTCAATATATATGTTACTTTTTTTTATTAACTATTATTTGACATGCTCAATATTAGCGGACCTAAAATTGAACATATTAGGACTTAAAGGTCTAACTAGAAGCCATTGCGCAGTATTTAGTTTTAGCTAGTGGGTCGCTCCCCCCCCCTCTCTCTCAAAAAAAAAACCAAACCATTAGTGCCCCAAAATCTTTAATATTTTTTCACTAGGTATTACCTAAACAAAAAATCCGCAAATTAGCAAAAAGGCTCTTAAATTTTTAAATACGTTCCCTAGAATTTCTAGCCCCTCTTTCCAATTGGGGATGTGAGGAAGCTTAGCCACGGCTCTAACCAATAGGTCTTCTTGGAGCATCTTAATAACTAAATAAAAAAAAAAAGTTTTTTTATATATTTATATTTATATAAATATAAATATAAATATTGATCATCGAATTCTCCTTAAAAAAATAGAATACTATGGAATTAGAAGGAATACTTAAATGATACGTAAAAGTTATTTAAATAACCGTAAACAATTTATTTATAGTAATGAAAGTGGTACATCTAATTTATTAAATATAACCTGTAGAGTTCCCCAGGGCTCTATACTCGGACCACTTTTTTTCTTAATCTACAACAATGATCTCCCTAAAGCATCAAATTTAACGACTGTCATCTTTGCTGATGACACTTATCTTTTTTTATCGCATAAATGTATTCTAACATTATTTCAAACTATGAACATCGAATTAGTGAAAATTTGTGAATGGTTCAAAATGAATAAATTGTCACTAAATGTGGATAAAACAAAATGGTCACTCTTTCATCCGAATTCTAAAAAAAAACTACTGCCTCCTAAATTGCCCTTACTTTTTATAGACAAAATTCAAATAATAAGAGAAATAAATATTAACTTTTTAGGTGTCCATGTTAATGAAAATTTTAGCTGGAAAAAAAAAAAAAAAAAAAAAAATTATAAAAACTGTTTTCGATTTTACCGAATGACCGCATTTTTTATTATTTTTTCACGAAATATTTTTTCGTAATTTTGGTATATATTTTTTCCTATAGTATTTTAAATTTATTTTTATTATTATTGTTATCAATTTTAAAACAAATTGTATTAATGTTGCAATAAAGAAAAATAGATGAATATAAATTTTAATTTTTTATAAATATAAAAAAACAAATTTAGTTTTTTATAAATATTATTTAATAAATTTTCATGTAAATTTAAAGTTTTACAAATACAACGGTAAATTCATAACTTTATGATGGTCGTCTGTAGTCTGAGTTAGCAAATATGGCTCACCCGCATGTGCATATTATTATTTTCTTGTTTTTTTTGCCTGATTTTGCCTAAGATTCATAAATTTGGGAAATTTCCTATAAATATTTGTCATAAATTTATAAAAACATGAAATAAATAAAAAATAATATTTTTATAATAAACACAATTATAATGTTTATAATTATGTTTTCAATATGTTAAAAAAATATATAATATATATTTTTTTAGTAGTTTGATTATAACATAGTAAATATATATAATATATATGTATATATATATATATATATATATATATATATATATATATATATATATATATATATATATATATATATATATATATATATATATATTTATTATGTAATGATCAAACTATTTTAATGTCACCTAAGACAAAGGCGAAACTATAATAGTTTAGCCATACATAGACTATGTACGACTAAATGTGTAAAACATGTAATGTGTACGTGTTATGCGTATTTTGCCTTATACTTTAAAAATGTAATCAAAACTGTATTTGTATTTGCTATATTTGCCTAATTCAATTAACAACAAACAATTAGTAATTGTTTGTTCTTGTATTTATTGTATCTGTTTTAAAAAAATATTGACTGTGTTTTTTTAAGTAATGCTATATATATATATATATATATATATATATATATATATATATATATATATATATATATATATATATATATATATATACATACATGCTATATATATATATTATTATTATATATATGTATATATATATATATATATATATATACATATATATATTATTATTATTATTATATATATATATACATATATATATATATATATATATATATATGTATATATATATATATATATGTATATATATATATATATATATATATATATATATATATATATATATATATATATATATATATATATATATATATATATATATATATATATATATATATATATATATATATATATATATATATATATATATATATATATATATATACACACACACACACATACACACACACATCATTAGGATAAGATATCGTTCCTTGAAATTTGTAATTTTATTTACAATGTTAAGTTGCAGTTTTCTTTTATTAAACTGTTTTAAATCTTTTTTCTTTATTTTTTTTTCTTCTTATTTATATTAATATAGTTAAAAAGAAATGAATAATTCAGTGCAACTATTTGAAAAAGTACTTTCTTTGGTTACTAAGCCAATACCAAAAATTACTCATCATAAAGATGTTCTTGTTAAAGTTTTATTTTCTGGTATATGTGGCACAGACCTAAATATTATAGCAGGTGAATTTCCAGCATCTAATAATGCGTTAACATTAGGTCACGAGTTTTGTGGGATTGTTCAAAGTATTGGAGAAGAAGTATCTGCTGTAAAGGTTGGTGATAAAATTGTTGTGAATCCTTACAGCCAATGTAATATTTGTTATTATTGTATAAGACGTCAACCAAACTACTGCATTAATGGAGGAATTGAAACAAGTGTTGGTTTTGGGAAAAATGGTGGTTGGGCAAACTATTGCAAAGTACCAGAAGCTTTGGTTCATAAAATACCTGTTACAATGACACTTCAAAAGGCTGTTTTTATAGAACCTTTTTCCTGCATCATGAGAGGGTGGTCAAATCTCGGAGAAATTAAAGCTGATGATAAAATTCTTGTTTGTGGAGCTGGCATTATTGGAATGTTGTGGTCTTCTTTGCTGCATTTTAAGGGACATCGTGATGTGGCTGTTTCTGAGTTGTCAGAAAAAAAAAGGTTAAAAATGCTTGAACTTAATTTGGGTTTTAAAGTAGTACATCCTGACAATCTAGATAGCCTTCACAAAGAATCACAAAGAAGTAAAAACAACCAATGGGGCTTTGATGTTATAATTGATTGTACAGGAGCACCAGGAGCCATTGAACAGTCATTTAAATGGCTCCGACATGGTTCAACTTTATTATTGTTTGGGTGTTGTCCTAAGAAATCAGCAATTTCTTTAAGTCCTTTTGATATTTACAAGAAAGAATTAAAAATTGTGGGTTCATATGCCAATCCATTTACTTTCCCTGAAGCTATTGCTATTGTACGAGATATGGAAAAATATTTAGACTATGAGAAACTTGGGGTCAAAACGTATGACTTACAGAATTATTTGGTTGCTTTGGAAGACTTGAAAAAGGGAGATGTTTCAAAAGCAGTGTTTGACGCACATGAGTCTGCAGAACTTTTATAGTAATATTGTATATTTTTCTTATCACAAACTATTTTATATGCAATACTTCTTAAATCTTGTTAAAACTCTTTATAATCTTTATAATATAATTTCTATTTATTTCGAAAAATAAAAATTGTATTTATTTTATTTATTGGTTTTTTTATTTTATTGTTTATTTCAATTTTTGTTTATTTTTCTAAAAAATTTTAACCATAATCTTAATTTACATATTAAAATATTTTCTTTTTAGTTGACTTTTACATATTTAAATATTTACATATTTTTTTTTTAGTTGGCTTTTACATATTTACAGAGTTTCTTTTTTAGTTGACTTGAAGTTTTATTTTATGGGTTTTATTGAATTTACATTTACAAATAAATATTTTTAAGAAATAAGCACAATATTTCAATTAATTTTTGAAGTTGAATAACAAAGTTATTGATGTTGTTTAACAGAGAACATAATGAGTTTTATGATATTCTACTTTAATCTTTCTATTAATCACATTAAAAACTTTGTTTAAGGTGATTAGCAAAATAATTTAATTAAGTATAAGGGAAAGCAGGTAGGATTCATACACTTTTTACACTAAGTCATATAAAAGCAAAAACAATTGCTTTTCTAGGTTCTCATAGAAATCAGTTATTTTAAAATAAGTTTAATGCTACTGAATAACCTAAATATCCGGCTTAAATAATATTGAAGTTTAGCTTTGAAAAAAGCAAACATTTATTAAGATTAAAATTAAAACAAAATAAATATTAAACATAATAAAAATAAAATTAAAAATCCCACTGCAGAGTATACATATTTTCTCAAAAGCTTTTCTAGGTTTTCATAAAAATCAGTTACGGCTGTCTGTTTAAATGCGAAAGAGCGGGTTGCGCTGGTTTTTTCGTACGCATTTACCGTACAAATCCTCCCCACTTATTACTGTATGAATGTGCCCCAACCAAATCGACTAACATAAATTCAAAATAAAAATAAGGTTATTAAAAAATTATTGTTTAAATATTAAGGCACTTGTACAAAAAGCATAATAAATTATTTCATTAATTGGATCAAAAGTTATTACGAATAAATGTTTTCAAAGATTAATTGTAAATTTACTTAAGCAGTGCAAAAATACGTATCGACTTGTTCCAAAAACGATTACAATGGCACGGTGCTAAGCTGTTAGCCTTTGTGCTTGAGTGGTCTTCACACACACATAAATATAAATGTGTCAAAACAAAGAATGGTCTAGATATGCCTACTGTACGAATGCTCCCACTGTATGAATCCTACCAGCTCTCCCCTATTGTTTAAATTTGAAAGTTAATCATTTTTGTTTTATAGTTTTTTATAACTTTTAAAGTTAATAATTTTTGTTTTAGTGTTTTTTAATTTTTAAAATTTATTTAATTTTTTTAAATGATTTTTAAACTATTAGTTGAAAATTAAAAAAATGCAAAAATAATTTTTCTTCTTATATCAAGCAAAATAGAAACATGGCATTACAGCATTCCTCTTTTCTGGTAACATTTTGCGTTCTTCTCAATATTTGTTCTTCCATATGTATTGTTATGATTAACAAATGGATTTACACTTATTATCACTTCCCAAATATTACATTAACTTGCATACATTTTATCATCACATCTTTGGGATTAAAAGTGTGCTCAATATTCAATCTGTTTAACCCACGATATGTTCCGATAAAGAGCATGCTTCCACTTTCAGTTGCGTTTTGTGGCTTTGTTGTTTTCACTAATTTAAGTTTAGAATACAACACTGTTGGTACTTATCAGCTGATTAAAGTCTTAACAACTCCATGCATAATGATTATTCACGTCATGTTTTATAAAAAAACGTACACTCTAAAGATCTTGTTGACCCTGGTATGTATTTTCCTTTAATTCATATTTTTTTGCTTTTTTTAATTCTGTATTGTCAGTATCAACTGATTTTGTTGTTGTAGATATTACCTGGTTCACTTTTCTACTGAGGCTGTCTACAAGAAATATATTTTAAACTTTATTTGTAAATATCCATATAGGTACCTATAACATTTGGTGTTTTTCTCAATTCATATTACGATGTCAAATTTAATTTATTTGGTGCATTAATTGCTGGTTTTGGTGTGATTATTACATCACTTTATCAAGTGGTAAAAACTATTGTATTACATTACTATTTTATTTTTTAATTATGATTATATTTTGGTTTGATGAAATTTTTACTTCTTTTAGTGGGTTGGTACTACTCAACAAGATTTAGGTATTGACTCAATGCAACTTTTAAGTTACCAGGTATGAAATATTTATTTAAGTGTCATTAAGTTTATTTTATAATTCCATAAAAAATTTAGTCACATATAAATACAATGATTAATTTATTGTATTTGTATCTAACAAATAAAATGCATTTACATGTTATGTAATCATGAAACATAACTCAGATATAAAATTTATTTGTTAAAATTACAAAAAGCTTGTAAATCTTGAAAGTATAAAAATAAAAATACTTAGTCCTAATGAAACAGATTAATGCCTGGTAATGCATCCAGTTTCTGTACTTTTAATATACATGTTTAGATAAGAGTATTATAAAAATGAGTCAAAACCAGTAGCGTAGTGAGGAATGGACATAGTGAAATATCACCCCAGGCCCCAAGAATTTATAGGGCACCAAAAAATGTCCTCGAGCTAACTTGAGGACATTTTTTGGCTTTATAGAGCATTAGGAACTGCAATAACAATGTCTAATGTTCTATCATTGATATGTATAAAACTGCCCATCATTCATAGGTAATATGATAGGCTTCAAGTCATTACGAAACCAAAAAATTGAATTTCAAAAATTACATTTATTTCTGTTATAATTTCTCGACAAAATATAATTTTTATTGTAAATTATACAATTATATATTTATAATATATAGCGTAGTTTAAAAAAAAATAAATAAATAGAATAATAGAAAATACTCAAAAGTTTAATAATTGCTATTATGTTATAAAGCTATGGTAACATTTTTTAATATATATTTGTTCATAATAAACAAAAATAATAATAGAATAATCTACTTATTTTTGGTATCTAAGTAATGCGATAAGAAAAAGGCCTAAAAAAAGCAAAGTAAAGCCGTAAACAGCTAGCACTGGAAGTGTGCAACTTATAGAAAATAGAAGCATAACATGTCCAAACTGGTGGTTTGGACATGTTATGCAAGCATGTGAAGAACTGTTTTTCGAAGGGATAGGGAATATAACCTAACCTGTTGAAGACTCTTTTAAGGCTGAGTCAAATTCTGTACAAGTTTGCAAACTCTTGGATGTCAAAGTAATCAATCTACATGTATTTATTGATGTGAAGTATCGGCTGTTAGTTTTAGATGACCTTTTAAAAACAGAAACTTATTTAAAAAAGTCCTTTCAAAATCCAGAATAAGGAAGAGCCATTTGCAAAAATCAGTAATAATCAAATAATTATTTATAATCGTTTCTTATCCTGTAACTGATTTTATAAAACTTAACTAAGCTATAACATGGCAAGTAGATTATGGCTAATTTTTTCACCCTTAAAAAATGCCTTATATTGCTTTCCTTGTTAACTTTTTTAAGACAATAGTATCGCTTTTGGAACCATGGAAGGATTTTTTAATTGGAAAAAGATGAATTCTAAGATAAAAAACACAAATAAAATCAATGTCATATTGAATCTGTTTTGTTTAGGAAAGATTTAGAAATGAGATTACTTCATAAATTGGTGATTGATTCTGGTTTATTAGTGGAGCAAAACAAGTCATACAAAGAGTTTAAGGTCATGCTAAACCAAACTTAAAATTTTATCTTTGAGAGGCCAGTGATATATCGTCTTTATTGTCACTGGTATAGATTCTCTACAAAATTGTCGTGTTTCTACACCAAAACTTTTTACATAAAATGTTTTCAGATTAATACTCGAATAAAAAGGTTTTGTGTAATCTAGCGAATAAATATTTTTTCTTTTCATGATTTTAACATATTCTTCGTAAATTAAATAAACAAACTTTATTGTTTCATTGTAATTATTGCAATGTGGCGTTGATTAAACTTAGGCATAGTCATCATCTGTATAGAAATCATACTCGCAAGTATTGTTTCTATACAAAAAAAATTCTGTTTATTCGGTTTATCAACATATTCATCGTTTTGCAGGAAGAGTTTTACTCATTAAGTAAATTTTTTTTTCTATCACAAAATAAAAAGATATCTTTTATTGATTTATGAAATTTTTCGCTTATTTCACTATAAACTGATTCAACAACATAACAAATTAGTTTACGGTTCTCATCACTTGTATAGATTTCTACCTTCTAGCACCCACCGACGCTCGCACACACATTTTTGTTGAGTTTTATGATTAACTGGTTTTGTTTAGACAATTAATTTCAAATATAAAAAAAGTGTAAAACTATTATAAACAAAAAATTTCAATCATTGAAATCAAATAATTGTTTTAAAGGAGTAAAATGCATACATTTCACATTAAATCTATGATTTAGTTTTCAATTAAATCTATGATTTAGTTAAATGTTTGTAATTATAGCTAAAGTGTAAGCGTTAAAGTCAGGTCAGATTTTCCTGCTACTGGTAACCTGTAATCCAGTACAACCTGCTTCATGTCCTGCTGCCATGTAGGATGTGCTTTTTTAGTCAAAATTTAGGAAAAATCAACTCCAACCTAAAACATTCTCTTCCTTGGGGCTCTTGGTTGAGTAAAAGCTAGAGATTCTTAAAAAAGTATTTATCTTGGACAGATGTTTAATGCATCCTGCTACTGTCTTGTAGGAAGCCTCTTAGGCAAACACTTAATACGTAAACAGATTCTATCTATTGACCAGTCTCGCACCTCTTCTTCATCTTTTAAGCTGGCGCGGTTATATTTTTTTATTTCAGTGTTTCCAGTTTAGGATAATAAATACTGGATCTTCTTGACTCAATTCATGGGTTTTTTTAATTATTGCTATGCGGCTTTGATTAAACTTAGGCATTGTCATCATCTGTATAGAAATCATACTCGCAAGTAATGTTTCTATAAAATAAAAACTCTGTTTACTTGGTTCATCACCATATTCATTGTTTTGCAAGAAGAGTTTTACTCTTTAAGAAATTTTTTTTTCTTTTACAGAATAAAAAGATATACTTTAATATCTTATGAATTCTTTTGCATATTTTACTATAAATTGATTCAACAGCATTATAAATTAGTTTCCGATTCTCATCACTTGTATAGAATCGCTACCTTCTAACACACACACACACGCACGCACACACACACCTTTTCCCTGAATATTCAACATCAACATCAAATCAACATGTTTTGTTTAGACACAATTAATTTCATGTATAAAAAAAACATAAAACTATTAAAGACAAAAAGTATTCAATACAATATTGAATACAAATAATTATTTTATATGCAAAATAACAAAAAAATATAAAAGGTGTAAAATGCATACTTTTTATACAAACTTTCAATTAAATATATGATTTAATTGAAAATTTGTAATTATATTTGAAGCTATAGCGAATCATTTATAAATTGTTTGGTCACATTTTTTATTTCTATCATCCAATCTTCCACCAACAAAACCATATGATATCTGTATAATCACACCTTTGGTCCAAAGTTTAAAGAACACATAGAAAACAACACTTTAGTGCTACATAGTGTCAAATAAGGCAATCTGCGTGGAGTTACGCTACCATTAATGTCGTTAGGATGTTGGCATCTCTATAAAGAAAGGTTCATGTGGTATATTGTTATGGGGCCCAAGTTTGTTTAAGGGCCCAAAAAAGAGCAAGCTAAAAAACCCCGTAAACCATTTCATTGTGTACTTTCTCATCACCAAAGACAGACCGGCAACTGTTTTTACCTCAGGATCTTCTATGGCTGATGACAGGAACTTGTAACGTATATGATATAAAATGATGATATTTTATGTTAAAACATGTTATCAGCAATTTCTTTGGAGATTCGTCAAGCATTATTCAAGAATGGTGAAAACGTATCTTTATTTTGGCTAATGATTTGTGCCTGAAATTTTCAGGTTATCCTCAGTATGCTTCAGAAATTTAGTTTACAGTTAGGTTTTTAAATATTCTTGTTAAATTTTTTAATTAAGAAATTAATTTACTATGTCAATTCACTTTGTACTTTAAACAAATTTTCAATAAATCTTGGTTAAATTTAAAGTACTGGAAAACTAAAAATCTATGTTAATCGGAATAAAAGTCTATTTGCCAAGTTTGAACAATAGAAAATTTATATAATAAAACACATTATGTAATTATGTCTGACAGGAAAATTTTTTATCACATTCAATTTTAAACCCTTTTTTCCGCCATTATAGCTGTAAAAAAAAAAAAAAAAAAAAAAATCGATGTAAGTAAAATCTTTGTTTCAACTATTTTTTAAAGTAATTTCTCAACAAATATACAAGTTTTTGTTTTTATTCACAATTTTTATTTTATATTTTTTATATTAATTTTTAAACAAGACGTAGAAGATTGTATATGTTATATAAAATTGTTTTTTGCATTTACAATTTTAAATTTACATTAGTTACATATTTACATATATAAATATATTATCTATTTTCTATAAAAAAAAAGGTGCTAAAAACCTATTTCTCGGTATTACTATATAAGATGGGTTTTGGGTCGAAACACACGAACTGTTGCTGCTAAGTTTGATCTTTTATTGCAAGGCAAATTAACGAGTCTCTTATAGCAGCCAGAAATTAAACATCATTCGAGTTGAGCATTATTATTATTATCTGAAAACAATATTTTTTCTAGAAAAAAAAAAAACCATCATACATACCATCATACATACATATCATACATAAATGACTATATACAAAATAGCATTTCAAAATCAATAAGTATACATGACTTATTAAAAACTCACATATCGGGTTTTCAGATTTTGAATTTCTGCGCAAGCAAAATAACAATTTTACTGTCAGCGAATAAACTTAAGTTAAAGCTGAAATATATCTATATTAGACATACCAATATAATTCAATATAAACGACAAAACTACTTCTATCTTACACTATACACGTAAACAAGTGACGGTAAACAATTTGCACCAGAAAAAACAGCCTTTTCTTTATCTGTAGTTGAACATTCTATCTTAGTTTGAAATAAAAAGGTTAGTTTAAAAAGCATATTTCATGTACAACTTTATGAACAAAATTTATGAAGAAAGTAATCTGATGCAAACTTTAATTTTAACAAAAAATGTATAAAAGGAACTAGTCAACCTGATATGACACGTCTACAAATAAATATATATAATTAAATAAATAAACATTTTTTTTTTGAAACTAACTGAAAATAATACAGGAATAAAATAAAACAGAGGTACAAAACAATATATAAAAGGTATAAAAACAACCTATAATGTATGTTTAAATATGTATAACTTTTCACACACAAAAGATGGTTTTGTACATAAAAAAATAACAAAGGTTGTTTAATAAAACATATATATATATATATATATATATATATATATATATATATATATATATATATATATATATATATATATATATATATATATATATATATATATGTATATATATATATATATATATATATATATATATATATATATATATATATATATATATATATATATATATATATATATATATATCCAATATAAAAACAGAAATGTTGAAAAAAATGCCTTTACTTATAGAACCTTTTTTAAATTTCTTATCAGGGGCAAATCCAGAGGAGTTCAAGAAGTGCTCCATCAACCCTTAATTAGTGTAGTGAGGAATCAAACAGGCAGTCTTCCTGGGCGCAAAGGTTTTATTAGGTGTAGTGGGAAAAAAAAGGGTATTCTTTATTACAAAAAGTATAATTGTGCAATTATACTTTTTGTAATAAAAAATACCCTTTTATTTTTGTTATAAAAGGCACTTTTTCATATCTGCTGAGTACCAATCAAAAAATATTCTAAAATACTACTTTGAACAAACTTGATGTTTTAAACAAAATTTTACTAACATTGTCAGATATGACAACAAGAATAACAAAAATATTAACAAAAGTTATATACCCAGCAAACTTCAATATTTTTACTGTTTTTTTTTCATTTTGTTTATATGATTCATACCAAACTTTTCTAATAATGTAATGTCAATCATGACAACAAGAATAACAAAAATGTTAGCTAAAATTAAATACCAACAAACTTTTTCATATTTTTTCTGTTTTTTTCATATCGTATTTTGTTAATTATACGATTTATACCATACTTTTCTAATAATGTCATCCCAAGAGGTGTTTCAGAAAAAACACTTTTAACAATTTTTTCTGAAACAACTTGATTATTAAACACTATACTTTTGAAAATTCTGTTGAGGTGTTTAACATCATCATAAGACATAGGTATAACTTTTCCTTGTTTACCTTCATCTAAATTTTTTTTTTTAAGCTTAATAATTTATCATAAATAGCTTTTGGCCTTTTATGTTTTAATAGCTCGTTATTGTTAATTAATCTTCTAATGGTTGGAATATACAGTCCATTGAATTCAAAATTAAGAAAAAGTCGTTTTACTTCTGCAACTTCCAACTCAGTCCAACTTTTAAATGTTTTGTAGGAGGAGTCATCAGCAGTAACATCAATGTCAATTGATTGATTTCCCTCCACTGGCTCAAAGCATTTACCAGGCTGTAGAACTTTATTTGAATGAAAGATTTCATTATCAATTTCATTAGTTAGTCCTTCAGCGCTCTTCATATTTTTAACTAGGTTATAATGTTTAGATGCTGTTTCTAATTTATGCTTTATATGCTTTGCTAAATTTTCTTTTTTTTCAAGAGTTATGTCCTCTTTACTATGAAACATAGTTGTAACACTTTTTCTCGCTAAAGTAGTGGACACAGGACATTCCCGATTTGTTTTTAAAGCTTTTTTCCAAAACGAATCAAGTTGCTTAGAAAATCCTTGAAGCTTTTTGAAAGACCATGTTACAAAAAAGCTTTGAGATGTAATTGTAGCATCTTCCCCATTTCTTTTGGCAACTTCACTTCTATATATATTCATATACAAATGCATATGCTTATATATTTGAGAACTCAGAACTATTTGAGCTGGGCCATATTTTCGCTTAGTTTTGTGTGCTTTAACATTTATAACAACATCAGAGGTATTTGGATTAACTTTCCCATTTAAAAACTCTCCTAAAGTTAGATTAATGCAGTTTCCAGCGCGTGATGCATTTCTAAGACAACAAATGCTTGCAAGGTAATCTCTTACTAATAAGTTTTCTTGCTTCTTGGGCAGTATCAGAATGGTAAACTTTAGTGATTTCTTCAGGAGTTATTATGTTTTCTAAATTCTCCTCTATAATCTCCCATTCACGTTCATCTACTTCATCATTGAAACTAGCACTCCAGTTTCTTAATTCTAAAATTATTGCTTGCAAAATACTCGATAAATAACAAATAATTCAATTAACATCAAAGTTGAAATTTAATTTTCCGCACCAAGGAAGAGTTTTCTCCCTGACTATAAACTCAATAAACTTAATCAAAGATCCTATATACGATCGAATTTTCTCAGGTAAATGTCCTCTACCTGGAACTTTACCACGTCCTGGAGTCATTGCCCGAGGCAGCCATTTATCCTGCAACAAGGTCATATCAAATAATGAATTTAGTGAACTCATATCAGGATCTACACATGAAAAAATTGTCTTTACTTGTTTAAAACATTGTTGTGCAGATTTATCATGGTTTTTTCCACCTTCAAATCAAGTAAGGTATTTTTTAAATTCAGATAAAACAAGCAGCGTGGAATTATTGTTGCATTCTACTTGATTATCAGATTCTTCAGAACTATCAGCAAAAAAGTCACTATCACTCTCACCGCTTTCTTCACTTAACTCTTCGTTAAGATCAAATTTAGGGGAGCTATAATTGGAAAGTTCATCTAATTCTACTTCTGACTCAGGTGAAAAATCTGACTCAGATGATTGACTTTTTCTTGTAAGAATTTTTTCTGATAACTGAGATGAAATCATTCGAGTTACTTTAGATTTGAGAACTTGATATCTCTCAGAATCATTAAATATTTGAGGATGGTTTTTCCTAAAATGATCAGATATATTTACTACAACACTAAAACAACTGTTAACCGAACATTGATAATAATATTTTTTGCGCCTGGGCGCAAAAAATATTATTATCAATGTTCGGTTAACAGTTTAGTTATTTCTGCTTTAGGATATTCTTTGCGTAAATTAAAAATAGTGGTAGCTTTTGATGCAGTACCACTATCAGTATTATGTCCAGGTAATTTTGATCTCATATGGCGAGGTAAATTTACAACTGTCTTAAAACAGCCAGGAATAGAACATCTTTTAGGATAAGTAATGCTATTTTTGTGGCGCCCAGGAAGAGAATTTTTTTCTACCAGCATATTGTTTTCTGAAGACTCTGTTTGTTCTTAAAAAAGAATTTATTATGCTTAATAACTATTTAGTTATTAGGCATGATAAATTTTTTTAAAAACAGAATATATAAAATGTATTGATTTATAGAAAAGAATATACAGCTTACCAAAAAAGGCAACATTACAAGAAAGGTTTTTAGGTGTTGAACTTCTTTCTTTCAAAGTTGATACCATTTCTGCACAAGAAAATTGTAATTTTACTACCAGCAAATATTTATAAATAAATATTAAGACTTAATTATATATAATTATATAATAAAAGGTTGCAAACATAATCAGTTTTTGAAAAATGTACTATTGAATTTATATCTAAATAAAAAAATAATAAAAAAGTACTTTGCAAAAACAACTGCAATTAAAATAAAATAAAATTGGATAATTATAAAAAAAGAAATTCACCAATAAATTCATATTTAATTTTGAAGATTTTGATTTCTATCTTTCAAGGTATTTTTGGGTATTTTTGCACAAAAAAATAACTTTTTAATACCAGCATAGATTCCAAGGTAAAAACATAAAAAAAACAATAATAAACTAAACAAAAAAAACAACATAAGAAAGCCAACAAACATAAAATAAACAACATTTTTTATACCATTGAGTTCAATAGCATTTGTCTGTTCATGTCGACTTTCTACAGAAAAAGTTGGTGTTTCTGCACAAAAGAAAATAACGCATTAACAAAAAATGTTACACCTAAAAAAAACGATATATATATATTAAAGTCAATTAATTGGCAGTATAAAATATACCATGGCAAACAACATCAGAGGTTTGATTTTCAAGTTTTATATATTGAGTTTTTAGTGATCTCGACTCGACTACAAAAAAAACAGAATATTTTTTAATGTAGAAAAAACAAACAATATCAACAAAACAAAAATAATTATACAAAAAAAAGTCATAAAAGTTTTTTAAAATACCATTAAAATCAATATCAGTACTAAAATCATCATTTGAAAAGTGCACTTTCGGATTTGAATCTAAGTTAAGAAGTTATTCAAATACTTTTACATAAGTACACACAGATATATATATATATATATATATATATATATATATATATATATATATATATATATATATATATATATATATATATATATATATATATATATATATATATATATATATATATATAGATTTTAGTATAGGAGAAGCTGCAATCTCATTAATACTGTCTATATTAATCTTCTGGAAATCTGAATAAAGCAAAACAAAAAAAAGTACCTCATAATACAATATATTCTACATAATTTAATTTTTACAGTTACAGTTCTTGGAACTGAAAACCAAATAACCAAATAACTGGAAAGTTATTTAAAATTGTCATTGTAACCTTATTACTTGTCTTATTTTGCGAGTGTTATACAATTATCATTGTAAAAAATTAACTTTGTCATACTAACACAAGTATGACAACAGATCTGACTTTATCAGGTCTTAAATTAGACAAAAGCAATATGACTTTCTAGTTTGGGGCATATAACATTAAAAACAACATTTTTATTGGTGCATCTGCCAAAATTTGGTCACAATAGAAGTTATTATATTGAGCTGGCTGTAACAATGCTTTGAAAATCAATGTTTTATGTCATTATAAACATAGTAAAAGGCAATGGAGCTCAGCTCAAAATGGCTTGTAACTGTAAGACTTGTAACTTTGAATAACAATTTTTAAAGGGCTGCAATGATCTAAGGGTAGATTTACACGCTTTGTATGCGCCGAGCTTTGATTTTCTATGATTACAAATATAAATTACTTTTTTAAAAAAATCATTAGAGAATCGCTTGCTTTGAGTCAATTTTCAATTTAATTTAGATATAAAAATGTAAGTTTAAAAAAGACTATAGAGAAGCAAAAAATGTCTCTAGTTTCTTTTAATACAGTTGTTCATTAAAAAGATTATTTTTAAAACCAGAAAAATATCATTAATGGATTAATACTGAAATCAATAAGAATATTAAAAAAAGCTTCACTAAAAAAATTGCTATATCTTAATAATAAAGATAAAAAGTATATATGTACCATCATAAACTTTGTCATTTATATTGAAAGATGAACCTTCAGATTTAGCTAAAAGTATAAAAAATTTAATAAAAAAGTTTAGCTTTTAAAAAAATATAAAAGCTAAGAAACACTTAAAAAAAAAAAAAAAAGTTATTCTAACAACAATCAAATAAACCAGATAATGAACATTCTTCAAACATTTTGCATGCCATATATGTTTATAAAAGCCTCTGTAAAACATATAAAGCTTTATATATATATATATATATATATATATATATATATATATATATATATATATATATATATATATATATAGTGAAAACTAAATAATTATTAAGATATATTTCAATTACATAACTAAAAGTTTCACGCAATAGCGATCATCAGATGTAACAACAATAAAAAGTAACGACAAAAATTATATACAAAAAATGCTATGGAGTGTCCGCTTTGATGACATTAAAGTTTTTTATTAGAAATTTATTTTCATGGTGGCATTTTGACGCAAGCTCGGTTCTTTTGTTAAGCAAATTCAATGGCGACGTAATAATGTGGTATTTTTCTGTCAAGCATAAATTGCAAAATTTCCCAC